TTTATTTTATTTTATTATTTTTTTGTGTGTACCATCAAATCAGATCTGACTGGTACAGGAGGAGATTGTTCCTCCTTCTCCAGCAAAGCATCTGGTGGATTCAAACCGTGCACCTATTGGATTGCAGTGCAGCTTCTTGCCACTAGGCCACCAGAGCTCGCCTCCCTGTTTCTTTTTGAGGATGCTTTAATTACATTTGTAGCTTAATTTTCTCTCATTTCCTAAATGGGGAAAAAGTTAATAAGTCAAAAGTTTTATCAGATGAATTTTTAAAATTCTGAAATCATAATCTTATACTGTGGCCAAGAATAGTCAGTATGGACATGATGTATATTGTGGATTTAAAGGAATTGTACCTTTGATTTATCAGTAATACCCAGAGTAATTCTCTATGACTACTGAGGCATATTGTTACATGACTCACTAAAATGTTCCATTATTTTTATTTTCTAGCTATTGAAAGTGTACCAGCTGTACTTTTTTCTGATAGTTATTTATTCTAAACAAAAGCAAAAAAGAAATTCCTTTTTATAAAAACTTTTTATTTGAGGTAAGGTTTAAAAATCATATTGGTTTAAAAGTATTTTTTAAAAAAATATTTTGAAGTACACTTTTAGCATCATCGCATATTTTATTCTGTCTTTACGCAGGATTTTATTTTTACCTTTTAAAATACATATTTTCAAAACTTATTTGTAGTACTTGATTATAATAATTTTGAGTAATGGTGGTTTCTATATGCTGTATATTGCACATTTTCACCGAATCCTCATCATCTTATAGAGCTTCCTGTATCAAATATTTACCATCACAAAGTACAAACTTACATCACTAGACACGGCCTATTATTAATCATATTCTACTGCAAATTCACATCTATATTATTTATAGTATATACTGATGTTATTCCTAATTATAGGAGGATGAACTTTAAAAATGAAATTAAAAATTGAAAAATTAAGAGGAAACCTGAATGACCTATTAATTGGACGGAGAGACTTATTTGCATAATGGAAAACTTGGTGAGGCTATTTTGGTTCAAATTCGTCTAGTTGTTACAAAGTTTTGGATCTATGTTGTTTGGGTGAGGTTTTTTAATTTAACTGAGTAGTGCCTTGATTTTGGAGGGTGGAGGTCAGAGATTGCTTTGGCAATATTAATGAACACTATTAAGATTTTTTTTCTTGACAAATGCTCATAAATACATGAAAAGTTTTCTAAGCAGTTTCACAGGGTTTTACAAAGTTCAAATTGAAATTCAATAAATAGGAAAGTTAAAAGTCTGTCTAGAAATTTATAGTATTACGCGAGGTATATGAAAATTATTTCAAGGTAGCTTTATAAATATGCTTACAAGTCATAGCTTAAAAAAATTAAATTAGCTATAGTAAAAATTATAGACCTTTTGAAAATATTTTAAAATGTTTAA